ATTAAAAATTGTTCTTTGAATCTGTCTACTTCCTGCCTGCAGTTTTTGGAACCTGTAGCTGGTCACTGCTGTTTCTTTCCTGCTGTAATACATGCTTCACTGAGACTAGGAACAGGAGATAACACTATTCACAACAGCTGTCCTATGGGACCAGCAAGGTGCCTCGATGGAGGAATGCATAAAGAGAAGGTCGTGCATCTACACCATGCAGTCTTATTCAGCCGGGAAGAACATAATCATGTCACTTTCCAGAAAATGGATGGAACCGAAGATCATCATGCTAATTGGAATTAGTCAAACTGAGAAAGACAGGTATCACCCTTTTTTCCTAATATGTGGAATCCAAAAAAAAAAAAAAAAAGATAACATTAAAATAAAAGGGAGACTGGGGAAGGGTATAAATAAGAATAATGGGGGATGGATATGATCAAAATATGTCATATGCATGGACAAAAACGCCACATTGAAACCCAATAAGCTGTGAAATGAAGAACAGGTGCTCACAGGGCATAGTTTGGCCATAGGCGGGAACGTGCTTGCCCTCCAGCTAGATGAGGCCACACAATGTGATGGGCCAGTTTGGGATGTAGACTGTGCCCTAGAGAATCAAAAGGAGCAGAAAAGGAAATGGGAAGAAACAGGAAGAGGAGGGAGGAGACAGGGGAAGAGGGAAGAAGGGGGAGAAAGCTGGAGCAGAGGGGAGAGCTGTAGAGTGAGCGCTGGCCCTCCAGCTTGTCACCTGGCTGGGCTCTGTCCAGCTGTCTCTCTCAGGCCTTGTCTGGCAATGGCCTTGGGAGTGGTCAGATTTTTGAAAAGTGCTCAGGCTTCTCATACCTCATAACCTTCCCTTTGGTGGGTCCCCTCTGTTGGGCACTGCCATGGCAGTTCCAGCCCTATCCTGGAAATGGTCCTCCTCAGAGGCTCTTCTGGGCAGGCCTGCCCCTCATCCCGACTTGGTCAATATTCACCAAGTCCAGGGTACCTCGGGTCTACCTCTGGGGCTGGTCCTTGTTAACCTTCCTGAAGTGCCAAGTCCTAATGCAGCACAGATTGGGGCCAAAGTCCCTGCGTTATGCCACCTTGTTCTTTGGAAGCCTGGTGGCACAAAAATATCTCTGTTTCAGGAGCAAAAGCCACCTCCTAGGGGCAATGAGGAAGCACAGAGTGTGAGATAAAAGGCTTCCAGAGGGTTATCAGCCTTGATTGGGGCACGCTGGAAGGTATCATTCAGACAAATGTCTCCAAGGTACCCTCCCTGCCAGTGACCTTTGGAAGTCCTTTCTTCAGGAGACGGGACTTGCCAGTACTGTGGTCCCGGCCTGCAGCCTCTGTTAGAGCACACTGTTTTAGTGGATTGGCCCCACTGGGAGCTCTCTTGCTGCTGAAGTCCTTCTGGGAAGGACCTCATCTCCAGCACAGGCTGACGTGTGGCTTCCCTGTTCCTCACTGCCCTCTGAGCCCCCTTCTGTCCTGTCTCTGGAAGCAGATAAGAAGGGAAGGGGTTGACAGTAGGGTAGAGGGAAGAGCATAGAACTAGAGGTTCTGCTCTACTTGAGGCTGATGCAATGACCTGGACCAACTTTCTATTCTTTCCCACCATGAAAGAAGAGCTTTGCCTAAAGGTCTGCAAGTTTCTTCTCCTTCTAATGAGAGCTGGCTCTTCTCACATGGGTTTTCAAAGGAACCATTCACTCTGTTGGGGGCCAAGAAGAAGAGGAGGAGGGAGACGCTGTGGCCTGAACACCAGGATCCTTACCTGGCCTCTGGGAAAAGAGCCCATGTTCCTTACGAAGACCCGGAGCACGCATGACAGCTGCTGCTGCAACCTCCCCTCAACCCTGCAGGATTCAGAGCAGGACCCCGACCTCCAGGAGAAAGTCTCATCTCACCTTGTATTTTGGGGGCTGCTGTGGGGCTTCTCCATCCACCTCTGTCCAGAAATAAGATCCCTTTGGACTCATCCTAGGAAACGCTGGTGCTGGGGTGTCGTCTTGTCACTTTCTGTGAACCTGGAGACTGAGAAGCAGTGTGGGGTGCTGGATGGCAGCGGAAGCTGGCACTCAGATGGGGGACAAGTGTAGTGCTGCCACTCACCTCCCTGATGCTTGTATCAGGTCCCTCTCTCTGGGTCTTATTACTTAGAAGAGGAAACCGTCCTGCTTCCTGCTTGTCCTTACTGTCTCTTATTCCTACAGAACTTGTCCAAGGTGGTAACAGTGATGCTTCAAGGAAAACCCCCCAATCCACAGCTCCCTTCTAGTGCAGGGTCCCTGACTTTTTAGGAGGCTCGGCTTAGCCAGCCCACTCAGGGATCTCCAGGGTAAGTGACGCAACCACCTGGGCAGGAGAGAAGGGAAACTTCAAGATTCAGGAGAGGAATTCCCCCTCCATTGATCTGGCAGTTGTTGCCCCCTGGCTGACCTGGGCCCTCCAGCTCCAATGAAGAAGCAATTTGGGCCGTTTGGGTCACTGACTCCAGCTTGCCTGGCTGGCTTGGTGGTTACTAATTCACGCCTTGGACAAAGAACAGTTCAATAAATGTGATGATTTTCGTGGAAAGAGAGCACAAATAAGCATAGTGTACCCAAGGGATGACACGCTTAAAAATACCCCAGGAATCCCCTGTGGCAACAGTTCATGGGCATTCTTTTCCTTATAAAGGATGTCATCATCCTGCCCCTGCTGGTCTTGAACCAGCAACTAAGGGATGGGGTTGCTGGAGACTGAAGTTGAGGCCCCTTGCCTGGACCCCCATATGTAATGGCATCCTTGGACCAATTAGAAAGGACCCCTCTTCATTAAAAGTAGGTTCCAGAGGACATTGTCACCCCGTGTGAACGGCATGTTCTCCAGGCATTCCTCCTTCCGGTTTGAAGACAGGTGGGGACAGGACTGAGTCACGGAAGCAGTGGGAAGGAAGAGAAACTCCACTGGATGTTTGCAGTATGACGTGATGGCACAGTCTTGTGCACGTGTGTGCCCAGCTCTGTGCGCTACTACCTAAGGTCTTAGCACCTCCAGTGCTAGATCCAGATCTTCAGCTCCGCCTACAGCTTCCCATATAAGTTAGAGCACACCTGCTGCATGGAAGCCATCCTCTTAGATGAGGTACCCTTGAGCAGTGCATAGCCTGAAGAACTGTATATGGTGGCCCTGCCTTCAGAGGCTCATCCCAGAATGGAATGATTCTCATAGATTGTGGAGAGGTGGCTAATGCCTGGCTAGAATCTACCTTTCCAGCTTCCCAGGGAGCAGTGTCACATCATGTTGAAGCACATCGAGTCTGAAGTGAGACACCCCTACCCCCAAATTTATGTGGAAAGGGACATGGATCAGGTTATTTGCTTTTTTTTTTATTTTAAAGAGAAAAAAATAGAATTTCAAAACAAGATAATAGGAGGGTAACAATGGTTAATACACTTTGTATTGTTATCCTTAAGTTAGTTACTTAGAGTAACTAACAAGATACTGGCATTTAATTGTACAAGATACTGGCATTTAATTGTACAAACAATATTAGTATGTTTCTTTTCAATGAACAAATGTTTCTTTTCAATAAATAAAGAGAAATTTGTAGTCTATCTTATATATATATATATATTTGCTTTTCCTTCCTTTTTTTTTTGCACCAGAATCAAACTCAGGACCTTGCACTTGCCAGGCAGGCACTGTGCCACTGAGCTATATCCCCAGCTCTTGCTTTTCTTTTCCTTGTTGTCTCCTTTCTCCCATCCCAATTTCTCTTTCCCTTTGAAGAGTTTCTTCTCATTTTATAATATCTATTGTACATTTTGGATCTTATTTACTCTTTCAGCTTCTCACACTAGGGAGGCAATACGATGTTTGCACATGTGATTCTGATTTACTTTATTTCACTTATGAGTATGATTCTCAAATTGCATCCATGTACTTATAAAAAACTCCAGTTTATCCTTCTTTATGGCTGAGTACTACTCCATTATATAAGAAGACCACATCTTTTTTTAACCATTCCTTGGTTGATGGCCATTTGAGTTATTTCCAAGATCTAGCTATTACAAATTGTGTTGCTATGGACGCACATATGTTGCTGTGTTACAATGTTTTTAATTCTTCTGGGAAGATACCCAGAAGGGGAATAGCTGGACCAAGTGGGCCCTCCAATCCCAGTTTTTTGAGGAATCTCCACACTAACTTCCATAGTGATTGCACCAGTTTACACTCCCACCGACAGTGGAAAAGTGTTCCTTTTTCCTCACAGCCCCTCCAGAATTTGTTATTGGTGGATTTATTGATAACAGCCATTCTTTCAGGGGTGAGATGGAATCTCAATGTTGTTTTAATTTGCATCTCTCAAATGACCAGTGATATTGAACATTTTTTCATATATTTATTTGCTGTTTGTATTTCTTCATTTGAGAAGTGTGTATTCACCTAAGAAGCCCATTTTGGATTGGGTGTTTAAATTTGAAAAGTCTGGTTTAATAACAGACACAAAAAATCAAATAAATACTAATACAATTGTACTGGGGGATCTCACTACTCCATGGTCACAAAAAGACAGATCAACTAGATAAAAAGGAAACAAGGAAATATTACAACTGAACCAAACTTTTGAACAAATGGAATTAGTAAATGGATAGCGTGTTCTACCCCACAGCATCAGAATACACATTCTTCTCAACTTCATGTGGGATGTTCTCCAAAATAGACCACATACTAGCTCATAAAACATGCTTAAGTAAGTGCAAAACAACTGAAATTATGCCATGCATATTATCAAATCATAGTGCAATGAAATTGGAAATCAATGCCAAAGAAACCACAAGAACTTCATAAACATGAAAATTAAATAGCACCCTCCTGAATGACCAGTGGGTCACAGATGAAATTAAAGAAGAAATTAGGCAGTTTCTACGATTAAATAATGATGACAATACAACATACTGGAACTTATAGGACACAATGATAGCAGTCCAAAGAGGGAAATTTATAGCAGTGAATACCTATATCAGGAAAACAGAACAAACACAAATAAATAACTTAATAGTGAACCTCAAACTTCTGGAAAAAGAAGAGCAGGCAGTACCAAAAGCTCATATGAGGGAGGAAATTTTGAAGCTCAGAGCAGAAATTAATGTATTAAAAACTAAGAAAACAATACAAAGAATCAATGAATTGAAGAGTTTCTTTGAAAGGTTAAATAAAATCAACAAATCCTTTGCCACCTTATCAGAAAAAGGAAAGAAAAGACTAAAATGCATGCAATTAGGAATAAAAATGTTGAAATCAAAAGGGACCCTGCAGAAATCCCGATCATCTACATGTACTTTGAAAACTTGAACTCTAATAAGAAGGAAAATGCAAAACAAATGGACAGATTCCTAGATACATATGAATTACTAAAGCTAAATCAAAAAGATATAAAAATCCTAAATAAACCAATATCAAACAATGAAATTGAAGATGTAATTAATAACCTACCAACAAAGAAAAGCCCAGGCCTTGAAGGATTCGCTGCTGAATTCTACAAGAAATTTAAAGACCTAACACCATTACTACTCAAACTCTTTAATGAAATTGAAGGTGAAGCAATACTCCCAAATTTGTTCCTGAAAGCAAGTATTACCCTGATACCAAAACCAGAGAAGGACCCAACTAAGAAAGAGAACTACAGGTCAGTCTCCCTAATGAACATACTTGCAAAAGTCCTCAATAAGATACTGGCAAACAATGCACAAAGTCATCAAGAAGATTATACACCATGACCAAAGAGGATTTATATCAGGAATGCAGGGGTGGTTCAACATACATAAATCAATAAATGTAATACACCATATTAACAGAACCAAGGACAAAAATCACCTGATCACCTCAATAGATGCACAGAAAGCTTTTGACAAAGTCCAGCACCCATTCATGATAAAAACCTACAGAAAATTGGAATAGATGGTCTTCATCTCAATCTAATAAAAGCCATCTATGACAAACCAACAGACAACATCATACTAAATGGACAAAAACTAAAAGCTTTCTCTCTAAAATCAAGAACAGGACCAGGATGTACACTGTCTCCACTCCTATTCAACATAGTCCTGGAAACATTAGCCAGAGCAACTGGACAAGAGAAAGAAATAAAAGGAATAACAATAGGAAATGAAGAAATTAAATTATCATTATTTGCAGATGACATGATACTCTACATAGAAAACCCAAAAACTCCACTAAAAAATTGTTAGATTTAATAAGCAAATTCAGTAGTGTAGCAGGATATAGAGTCAACACTGAAAAATCAATAGCCTTTCTGTGCACAAACAACAAACTCACTGAGAGAGAAATTAGGGAAACAACACCTTTCACAATAGCATCCAAAAAAAATGAAACACCTAAGAATCAGTCTAATGAAGGTTGTAAAAGATCTTTACACTGAAATCTACAGTACTCTGAAAAAAGAGATTGAAGCAGATATCAGAAAATGGAAATCTATCCCCTGCTCTTGGGTAGGAATAATCAACGTAGTGAAAATGTCCATACTTCCAAAACGGTTACACATATTTAAGGTAATTCCAATCAAAATTCCAAAAGCATATCTCACAGAATTAGATAAAACAATCCTAAAATTCAGTTGGAACCAAAAGAGACCTAGACCAGCAAAGGCAATTCTGGATAACCAAGGCAAGGCGGGGGGCATCACAAGCTACTGTGATAAAAACAGCATGGTACTGGCAAATAAAACAACAGACCCAGAGATCAATGGAACAGATTAGAAGATGCAGAAACAACTCCAGACAAAGTCAGCTACCTTATCTTTGACAAAAGTACCAAGTACATTCACTGGAAGAAAGATAGCCCCTTTAATAAATGGTGCTGGAAAAACTGGCTCATATCTTTCACTATGCACTAAACTAAATTCAAAATGGATCAAAGATGTAAATATTAAAACAGAAGAAATTACTTTAAATTAACTTTAATCTTTCTTTAAATTTCTTCTGCTGGAAGATAGAATAGGTAAAACTCTTGAAGACGTGTAGGAAAAG